ATATAAATATAAATATATAACTAGCGAAATTTTTTTTTAATTTATATATGCTTACATATACATAATTAAGTTTGTAAACATCAAGATTTTTTTAGAGCTAAAGCAATGAATGAATCACAATTTATACATTAATCAATGATTTAAATTATTTATTTTTAAATTTTTTCATGTTCTCGTTTAATATTTAATTAATGCCCATTGAATCAATATATAATGCCTATTAAAAGAAATTATTAACTTTATTTAATCATTTTGCAGATATTATGGGAGAACAAAGATGAGATAGATGGTATCTCACATTTGATATATGTATCTAGAGAAAAGAGGCCAAAACATCTACATCATTTCAAAGCTGGAGCCATGAATGTTTTGGTAAGTTTAAAAGTGTCATAGATCATTGTAGACCTTTCACTTTCCTATAAAATAGCTATTAAGACACATTTAAAAAAAATATCAGGATTATTTTTTTTCTTATTTGCATGTACCACAATTATATTAATTATAAAATTTTGAAATTAAGGCTATCCATATTACTTTAGATCATAAATTTTTTGTTTGATTAGGCACTTTTTTTTTGACATAAAATTATATATTAAAAGGTTTAAAATTGTTGGGTAAATTAAATAGCTTCCTAATTAAAAATCTCACCTACGGCTCACCTCTTCCTAATTAAGAATCTCACATATCGCTCACCTATCTCCCACCTACCGCTCACCTACCTCCCACCTACCGCTATCTTGGATTCTATAAATAGCCTCTTATAGCTTGTCATAAGTCATGCCAAAGGCCAAGCCAACCAATGCCAAGCCAAGTCCTCTTAAGAGCTAAGAGAAAGAGAGAAAGAAAGAGAGAGGAAGGGAGAAGAAAATAGAGATTTTATTATAAATATCGAGGCGATCAACGGTGTAATTCCTTAAAAAATAAAATCCTCTGTAGCTCCATGGACGTATGCAAATTTGTCGAATCACGTAAATCTGTGAAATCAGTGTTTTTCTGCGTGCAATTTTACTCGTTCCATTTTTCGTTTTATTGTCGTTGTTTTTCACAACAACTGATATCAGAGCTTTGGTTCGAATCTAAGGAAGAACGATAGGCGGAGACGAAGTGATGACATTGGGGATCAAGAAGTTCAATGACACAGATTTTGGTTACTGGAAGATGCAGATAGAAGACTACCTCTATGGGAAGAAACTTCATCTTCTGTTACTGGGAAAGCGACCAGAAAAGATGGACGAGACGGAATAGAATCTGTTGGATCGACAGATTTTTGGGGATGCTCCCGGATGATCTGAGATCGATGCTGCTTGTAGCGTCCCCGGCCGTTGAGAGGACTACTGCAGATCTCATGACAGCTTTATCTGGTATGTATGAAAAACCATCGACGAATAACAATGTGCATTTGATGAAAAAGTTATTCAATTTGAAGATGGTGGAAGGTTTGTCTATTGCTTAATACCTAAATGATTTCAACACTATCACAAAACAGTTGTCGTCTGTTGAAATTGTTGAAATTGATTGATTTTGATGATGAGATACACGCGCTGATATTGTTGGCTTCATTGCCAAATAGCTGGGAAGCCATGAGGATGACAGTTAGTTCTGCAGGTAAATCTAAGATGAAATATGATGATATTCATGATTTGATTTTGGCTGAGGAGGTGGGCAGGAAGGATTCTGACGAGGTCTCGTGTTTAAGTTCGATGTTGAATGTTGATTCCAAAGGGAGATCACATGATAGAAACTCAAGCAGAGGAAGATCAAAATCAAAGTCTAGTCTGCAGACAAACTGCTGGAATTGTGGCAAGGCTGATAACATAAAAAGGAACTGCAAGAATCCTAAGAAGAAGGAGAATGATGACGCTAATATTGTATTTGAAGAAATACAAAATGTGCTATTGCTGGCAGTTCACAGTTCTGTTGATGACTGAATACTAGATTCAGGGGCTTCCTTCCATACATCTTCCCGTAGAGAGTTAATACGAAATTATGTTGCAGGTAACTTTAGGAAGGTATATCTGGCTGATGGAAAAGCTCTGGACGTGGTGGGGATGAGAGACGTTAATATTGCACTCCCTAACAAGAGCAAATGGACTTTGCAAATGGTCAGACACATTCCTTAGTTGAAAGAAATACCTCATCTTTGTTGAGCAGCTCAATAATGGTGGTCATTCGATAGTGTTCTCAGATAGCACCTGGAAGGTTACCAAAGGAGCATTAATACTAACTCGGGGTAAAAAAACTGACACACTGTATATGACTACAGTACAGGTTTACTTAGGTTTACTTAGGCGAGGACACATGAGTCAGAGATGCATTATGGGGAAACAGAAGAAGGTCAATTTCCTGAAAAGTAGTAGAGCACCAAAGGCAGGAATATCATACCTTCTACAGACAAATGGTGGAGAACCACAGAGCTATGAAGAAATCTTGCAAGATGAGAATTCGAGCAAGTGGGAGCTGACCAAAGAGAAGGAGACGAATTCCCTGCCAGGGAATCAGACCTGGGAGTTGGAAGAACTTCCACCAGGGAAGAAGACATTGCACAATAAGTGGGTGTACCGGGTGAAGACTGTGCTTAATGACAGTAAGTGATCATGGTTGGACTTGTTGAAAAGGGTTTTCAATTAAGGCAGGATATTGTCCATGCAGTGGGAGTTATAAGCAAATACAGGAGTAACCCAGGAAAGAGCTTGGTGGTACAAGACTACTTTGACGGTGATATGTCAACTGAGGGTGTTACTCGTGAGAAGCTGAAGTTGTGCTAAGCTTCAGCTAGTCTTCTGACATGAAGACATGGGTTTCGAGTTGCAGAGGTGGAGGATATCATGTTTATGGAAAGGTCAGTACAGCTAGTAGATGATGCAGCCATTAGGTGATGCAGTTAGTGTCCCAGTCTCCAAGTGGGAGAATTGTTGGGTAATGTGGAGACCCGGTTCACCGAAATTTAATTAGCTTCCTAATTAAGAATCCCACATACTGCTCACCTACCACATCCCACATACCGCTCACCTACCTCCCACCTACCGCTCTCTTGATTTCTATAAATAGCCTCTTATGGCTTGTCATAAGCCATGCCAAGGGCTAGGGGTGTAAATGAGTCAAACACGAGCGAGGTCGGGCTCAGTTCGTTTTCGGCTCGTTCATATTTTGAGCGCAAAAAGTGTGTTCGTGTTTGGCTCGTTCGCTTAGCGAGCCGAACACGAGTCGTTGACGAACAAAAAGTCGTTTTGACAACCCTAATCACATAGTCATAAGATGTTAGGGATTGAGGCAAGATTTAAAATATCATTTGAATCTAATTTAATAATTTTTCTTCTAGTTTTTTCATTATTACTTTTAATTGATTATAAATCTTTGTAGCCTTGTAGTCAATTAAATTTTTTAAAAATACTACTCATTAAATATATATATATATAATTGATTAGTAGTATTTCGAGCCAAAACGAGCCGAACACGAACGAACAAATATTTGTTCGTGTTCGGCTTGTTAACTTAGCGAACGAACCGAACATGATCTTCTTAACGAGCCGAACACGAGCTGTTTGCGAACAACGAGCCGTTTTGACAGCACTACCAAGGGCCAAGCCAAGCAAGGCCAAACCAATCCTTCTTAAGAGCTAAGAGAAAGAGAGGAAGAGAGAGAGAGGAAGGGAGATAAGAAAATTGAGATTTTCTTATAAACGTCGAGGCGCTCGACGGTGTAATTCCTCGAAGAAACAAAATTCTCTGCAGCTCCATGGACGTAGGCAAATTTGTCAATTCACATAAATATTTGTGTCGCTCTGGTGTTTTTCTGCGTGCAATTTTACATGTTCCATTTTTCACTTTATTGCCGTCGGTTTTCACAACAAAAATTTAACTAAAAGTTTTGATAAGCTTATTGAAGGATCAAATATATACCATAAATAAACAAAAAAAAAAATATAACTTAAAATGAGTATCTCATCATAATGATTCTATTATGATATCATACAATTATGAATGAATTTTGTTCTATAATTGTCAAACCAATTTTAATTAGGCTTGTCTAGTAAGTCAGAATGAACCCGTTTAACTCTTCCCTTTCATAGTTTGTTGATAATATGTTATGGGAGCAAATTTCAATATTGTCACCATCATTAATTTTGGGTGACTTGACTAGCAACCAATCTTTCCCTTCCACACGAATGTTTAAAATGCATCAATAATTGTGATGAATTTTCTATGATTTAAAGTAGTTCAACTTTCTTTATTTGAGCTTTGTAAAGTTCTTATAGCCTCTAAAAGCAATTGGATGCTAAGCTACATGATACAAACATTTAAAATAAAAAGGTGCTGGATATCTCATGATAAGACGTTCATTTAAAATAATAAATAAATAAATAAATAAAAACATAATATAACAAGTTTTGTATGGATCAATTGTGATCTTAACAACTTCTTATCTTTAAGGCCTTTATAAAACTTTTACTTTTGAATGGTTTTTGGATTTAAAATAGCTCAAAAAAAAAAAATGAAATATTTTAATATTAAAATCATATATTACCAATTGTCATCATTTTTAGTTGTGCTTAAGGAAAAATTATTCCGTGCGGACACTACATGCAGGATGCAGGCGGTGTCCAATCTCGGCCGTCCATCACAGCGGAGGTGGGGTCCACTTTCAAAATTTAAAAAAAAAAAAAAAAATTTGATTTTTCGTGCTTAAGTGTGTATATTGCACCGTCTAAGAATTATTTAAATTAATCTAAATGTTAGAATTTTAAGACGGACTCATAACTTCAAAATTTTTAAAACATTATCATTTATTACATGATTGGATAACTTTTGTAACAAATTAAATCATTATGAACCTAACCTCATGACAAACTGCGTCGAGCTTTGTTATGTCATTAAAGAAATATCATTCATTCAAATAAGCAACCATTTATAAAAACCACCATATAACTAGAACTCTTCTCAAACATAGGATAAATTGGTATATGGATTTAACATTTCATCTATTAATCATATGATTCAAACAATGTGGAGTAGCCATATCATTCTACTTGCTTGACAATTATATTAGAAGAATTATATAAAATACAAGTGATGATAAGATCGAGTATAAATTCAAAGGATGACCAGACATCAAGCAACAAAAAAAATGCATTTTAAGATTTTTTTTCTCCAATTGATATGATCATATGATAGCACATCATAAACAGCATTTTAAATTAATATGTAATTATAACTTAAATATGTTACACCGAATAATCATGTATAGATGTATCAAATCACAGAAAACTATAAATTTGCTTATACAGGGGTAGGTAGGGTGTTAATTGAGCCAAGTCGTTTTTGAGTTGGCCCGTGATTGACTCAATGAGTGGCTTACAATCTAGGCATGAGCTAAGAAATCAAGTTCATGCTAATCGTGACTCGAATAGAGCTCTTGGGCCAGCTCGTTTTAAAAATATTAACATAAAATGTACTCAAAGTTGAAAAAAATGATTAACTTGTCTGAGTTTAAGCTCAAGGCTAATAATAGCCATTTTTCTTCATCTGTCCTGCTTCATAACAAGCAGATTAGCTATACTTTTAGCAACTTAACGTGCAACTATATATATATATATATCTCAATGATATATATATATATATATATATCTCAATGCAACTAGCACACTTCGATTAAGAGTCATCCGGAGCTCCGATTTCAGCAAACTTATAGTCAAACTGATCAGCTCGATGAGACGGACCTAATGATATAAAATTTAGTCCAATCCAAGTCAAATCGGGCTCGGATCAAGTCATTAAATCACTACTACAGGATTTCCGGAGGCATTTGAAAGGTCAAACAGATGTCAAATCTAGCGAGTTTATAGTCGAATCAAGCGTCTCGAAAAGACGAATCCAACGAGCCCAAGATTGCTCAATTCTAACACCGTTAAGACATCGTTAAGGCACTAAAATGTCCATCAAACGTCATCTGATTAAGGGACGCTCTCGGGCCGCCCGATCAAAATGGTTCACATTCATGCATTAATTGCACTCAAAACACTATAAATAGAGTCTCACCCCTCACATGAAAGTGAGGAGGCTTAAGAGAGAACTTGAGGTCTTGAGAAGGAGCTCAAGTCCAAGATCATCCCCGTCATCGTCGATCGCCGTCGATCACCACTGACCGTCAACAACGACCGCCGACCTCTGTCGACCACCGTTGAACGCCGCCGATCATCGCTGACCTTCGTCAACCACCGCTTACTAGACGTCATCAATTGACATTGTAACGTGGAAAGTCAGTTAACCCTTTCCTGTCTGTGGGACAAGGGACATTTGTAATCATCAACTTATAGTGGATTTTACAACTGGGCCAGACCCCGTGTTTTTTTTTTTTTCTTTTTACGGGTTTTCCACGTAAAAACTTCTGGTGTTATTACAACTTGATTCATTTTCATCTGAGTGCGTGCTGAATTCTGGTGCGACGCTAAGACGATAATCCATTACTTTACCGTCGCAAATTTTCTAGTACGCATTATATATATATATACATACATACGTGCATATACATACATGAGTAAACCCTAAACAAATTTAAGGTATAGTTACATACTAATTTAAAATGCAGTTGAAAATTTAAATTTTAGTTATTATATTTGTTCAAATTATTATGTGCTATACTATAATCATATCATTGGCTTAGCTCATTTAATTCGGACTCATGTAAAATGACCAAGCAAAGTTGCCTTACAAAATTATGACAAAAGTTGCCGTCTGCTTTTCCCTTGTTTGTTTAAATAATGACCAATAATTGAGTTGTTATTTCACATGTCTGGGGGCTGAAATAGGCCTGGACGATGATGTTCAAATTGCCGGTCAATATATTTTTAAAATTGCATTTTCAACCTATCATCAATTTCAATAGATATATTTATACTATAATTAAATATGTTGATGATAAATCCAACAAGATAAAGTGGTCAGACTACAACCAAATATGTACCAATCAAATAATTAAAATATTATAAAAAAATGTAAATATAAATTAGAAAAATATCTATTGAAGTACGATTATTTGGCCTTCTGATTGTGATTGAGATTAAATATAAATATAAATATAAATAAAAAAATATCATGTTCCAAAACCATCTTCATAATGTTCAGGAGTAAAATGTCTTGTATATTGAATTAATAAAAATATCATCTAAATCATTATTATATAATTTAACTATATTACAATTATTTTAATATTTATAATATTATTCATTTCAACCTTAGTTGAATTATTAAAATTTTCTTCTTTCAGTTCAACGACCTGTTTGAGTTTTACATATGTTCTATAAATAGAATCACATTCTCCATGCTAAAAAGACAGATTTAAACTTGAATAGAGTATGGGAGTCTTTAGATTTATATTAGTGGATCAGTGCCAATAACCAACACCAATAGTCATCTTTGATTGATTAAACAACCTAGTTGTATTCATTTAATCATCATTACATGATAACCATCATCTGATTGCTCTAGCACTATCTACTCACTATTCTGCCAACTATCATACTGAAACCGTTACAACCTAATAATTGTCAAAATCGTCATCATTTGATTGTTGCCACACAATCATAACAATCTACTCATTATCATCCTCTACTATTCCTAGAAAGACATGACATAAAAATTGTGTTCTAGCCATGCAACTCTTCACAAAATATGTAGGATACTAAAACTAAACTTTAACCTCATATGTTGGTATTATTTGGAAATTGTTGTATCTTCTCGTTCTCCTTTTTCTGGACTTTTAATCTAAAAACTTTAGTTTTCCTCGTGTAATTTTCATTTATCTGTTTATATATAGGGATCTTTTGCAATGTTAGGATGCAACACTTACTCTTATTTGTGCAAATTTTCTAGCACATAGAACTAATATACAACCAAAACTTTAGTACTAACCAATTTTTCACCTTAGAAAACTGTTTGTAGAATAATTTTTTAGCGTACGATACAAACATGTGTGAGTGAGGAGGGCAAACTACATGTAGGATATATGTAGTAACAACCAATTTATCATTTGATGTGACAGAAAAGTTAGGAGCAAGGGAAAATTCAGGGCACAAATCCTCTTATATTTTTAGTGTCTATATATTTAATAAATTTATATCAGCAAGAATGTATTATTTGATCTCTATAAAAGCAAATATTTAGGGTTTGTTTTAGATCACATTTATTTTTGTCTTTTATTTTTTAAAACTTTTATTTTTAAGAAAATATTCCCTTAACATTTTTTTTGCATATGCTTAATCTTTTCAAAACAAACTAATTTCTTTTTTAAAAACACTCTAAACCTTCAAAAAACATTTTAAATATTTTTAAAATAACTATAGAAATTATATAACTCACCATACAAATTTTATTTCAAGTAAACCATAGAAAACTAAAGTAGAAATAATCCCAAATAGCCCTTAATTAATATTAATTTCATTTAATCATAAAAGCTTTATTTATAAATTTCAATTAAAACTTTTCTTGATTGCCACCACAAGATGATTAATTAGGCGAACAAAAGGTGACACTTCTTTATATTAAAGACTATAATATTTTCCTAAATGATAATGTAGTATATTGTTAACTTTGTGGATTGTTTAAATGGTGCATGCATGCAGACGAGAGTCTCCGCGTTGATGACGAATGCTCCATTTATTCTAAATGTGGACTGTGATATGTTCGCTAATAATCACAAAGTGATTCTCCATGGAATGTGCCTTATGCTCGGATTAGATGAAGAGGCCTCCTGTGGCTATGCTCAACTTCCTCAAAGATTTCATGGAACTCTTAAAGATGATCCCTTTGGAAACAAGCTGGAGGTCTTACAGAAGGTATTCATTTTTAGTTACCCTCAATTAAAAAAATCAACTTGATTAAGTTTTTCTAATCATTTTTTTTATCATTAATTCGTACATGGTAAGTTGATCGATCCATTTGGTTTCAGTTTGTAGGAGAAGGGATTGCAGGGATTCAGGGTCCTTTAAATGGAGGAACTGGATCCTTTCACAGGCGAAAAATTATTTATGGTTGTTCACCCTCCCAACTTGAAGGCCAGGAAAAAACTACACATGGTAGGATTATCATTAGTAAATAATTATGTTTAATTATAGTTGTTAGAGTTATAGGCTGAGTTATAGGCCTGAAAATTGTTGGATTTAATTCAAGATAAATATAATAAAAATTTAGGTATGTAAGTAGGTACCACCAAGTTTCTATGTATTTGCATATCTAACATGTCTTTCAATTTTGCTACTCATCAAAATTGTAAATGTATAAATTAAAGTTATGTAATGAATTAATAAAATTTTTATTATGGTCTTGTTCAATGGCAATATCATGCCCATTCATTAAATATTGTGCAGAATCGTTCCCTTGCAAAGAGTTAAAAAGAGTATTTGGAAACTCCGAAGAGCTTATACAGTCTACAAATGTGACAATTATGCAAGAAGCCAAGCCAGGATTGTCTTTCAACACTGAAGTTTCAAGCAAAATAGAAATAGCCAAGCAAGTAGCTGCATCCACCTACGAGCAAAACACAAGCTGGGGTAAAGAGGTACTTATATCTATGCAAATAAATTACTCTTTCTTTATTATTTGGTAATTATACGCAAATAATATAGTGCAATATGCTTTTTCACTATTTAACATTCCTGCAACAGATAGGATGGATGTATGGGTCTATGAATGAAGACGTTTTAACTGGGATTAGAATTCATTCCATGGGCTGGAAGTCTGCCCACTTTGATCCTAACCCAGCTGGCTTTCTTGGACTTTCCCCTTCAGGCGGCCCAGAAAGCCTTACACAGTACAAGAGATGGGCTACGGGCCTCCTAGAAATTCTTATCGATAGACAAGGTCCACTGCAGGGCACACTTACGAAGCGACTCCAGTTCCGCCAGTGCCTTGCATATGTACTTCTCAGTACCTGGGCTCTCCGCTCGATCCCTGAGTTGATCTATGCTCTTCTCCCAGCTTACTGTCTCATCAGTGGAACCTCCTTTTTGCCCAAGGTACGTTTTTCATTAATCATCATAATAACTATATATATATGTATATATATATATATATTTAATTATAATAAAACGTTTCATTTTTACCGTTACATTAGTAAAAAAGAAGTTGAAGAGGGTTTTAAGAAAACCATGGGTGGAATGTCTGTAGGACCCGATGATATCCTAATTGAAATGTGAAAATATTTAGGAGATTTGAGAGTTTCTTGGCTTACTAAACTCTTTAATATTATTTTAAAAACTTAAAAGTTGCTTGAGGAGTGGAAGAAGAGTTTTTTGATCCCCATTTTTGCAAATTAAGAGGATGCACAAGAGTGTGCAAATTATAAAGGAATTAATTTGATGTGTCATAATTTAAAATTATGGGAGAGGGTAATTGAACATAGGTTAAAACTTATTACAAAGATTTCTCATAATCAATTTGGATTTATGTCGGGCAGGTCTACCGTGAAAACTATACATCTATTGAGAGGTTTGGAGAAGTTCAGAGATAGTAAGGAGAATCTATATTTGATTTTTATTGATTCAGAAAAAGCTTATGAAAAGGCTACAAGAGATGTTTTTGGAGCATTCTTGAGAAGAAAGGTGTTGATATGACTTATATTAAAGTCATTAAAGATATGTATACTAGAGGTGTTACTTGTGTTCGAAGTGAAGGAGGATTGACCAAATATTATTTCTGTTGGATTACATTAGGGATCGGCTTTAAGACCATATCTTTTTGCTTTAGTTATGGATGATATTACTGGACATTTACAGGAGGATGTACCATGGTGCATGTTTTTTACTGAAGGTATCCTTCTCATGGATAAGACGCGAGAAAAAGCCTGGAAAAAAAGTTGAGATATGGAGGTCTACATTAGAGTATAAAGGCCTTCGTTTGGTTAGAACCAAACCTGAATATATTGAACGTAATTTTAGTAGTAGTAGTAGCTCTAGTGACAGAAGTGCTACTTTGTGTGATCAAACTATTAAAAGGTGTGATCAGTTTAGGTATCTCGGTCTATTGTTTAAAGCAATTGGGATATAGATGGGATGTTAATAGTAGAATTCAAGTTGGTCGATTGAAGTGGAGGAATGTTTGGAACTTATTGTGTGATAGAAAGTACCGATTAGACTGAAAGACAAATTTTATAAGATGGCGGTGAGACCTGCAATGCTCTATGATGTTGAATGTTGGCCTTTAAAAGTGAAGCATAATACTAAGTGTTGTTAAGATGAGAATAATTAGACGGATGAGCGGATTTACACTTATAGACAAAATACAAAATGAATATATCCGTAATAGGGTTGGCGTAACTCCAATGACAAAAAAAATTAGAGAGATTCGTTTTATATGTTTTGGTCACGTTAAACGTCGACCATCTGATGATCCGATTAAGAGAGTAGATGTTTTAGATTCTACTTATGTTAAGCAAGGAAGAAGTAAACCTAGGCAAAATTGGGCGTATTGTATAAAAAATGATCTTAATTTATTAGAATTAAAGGAAAATACGATACTAAATAGGACGCAATGAAGAAAAAAGATTCATGTTACGGACTCTACTTAGTGGGACTACGGCTTTGGCGTTGTTGCAAGTGTATGGGTAATATTCAGTTAATTAATTTGATATCATTAAAAAATACCATTTTTATTATCTAAATAAATAATGATATTGTTTTGATACATTTTTAATAAAATATATCACAAAAGAAAAGCTATTAAAGCATTTATATATTGTCAATAGGATATTTTTCATAAAAGGTGAGGCAAAAAATTCCTTCGTAATATAATAAATTTATTTACATAGGAAATAAAAAAATATATAGACAAAAAATGTCTCTTTTAAGATATTATTATGAATAATAAATTTTTACTGGTACAAATGCAGGCTTCGGAGCGAGAGTTCCTGCTGGTTGCAACGCTGTTCGCCAGTTACATCATCTACTGCGTCGCAGAATTCAAGCTGTGCGGGAAGTCGTACCGTGAATGGTGGAACAATCACCGCATGCAGCGCATAACTCCCATCACCGCGTTCCTCTTCGGCTTCCTCTCCGTCGTCTTCAAACTCCTCGGCGTCTCCGATACCGTCTTTGAGGTCACCCGAAAGAACCAATCACCTCAAACTGGCCAGGTTGAACCGGGGCGGTTCACCTTCGACCGGTCACCGGTATTTATCTCTGGCACGGCGGTGGTGCTGGTGCACATCATGGCGGCGGGGATGGTCTTGCTCCGGCTGGCGGGTTGGGCGACTGGAGGGGAGGCGAAGGGATCGGGAGTGGGAGAGATGGTGTGCTGCGGGTGGATTTTGGTGGCCTTCGGGCCGTTTGTGAGGGGGTTGTTTGGGAATGGGAGTTATGGGATTCCATGGTCGGTGGTGATCAAAGCAGGAGCTTTTTCGGTTTTTTTCTTCCGACTTTCTGTGAGTCTTTGAGATTTTCGCTAAAGGGAAAATAGTCTCACATCGGCTAGGTGTAGGGCCAAAAAATAGTATTTAAGTCCTGAGATGCCCACCTCTCTTAAAGGCTCTTTTGGGAGGTGACATATAATTAGGTTGCCCCAAATAACTGTTGCAAGGAAGTTGACTGTCTATTTATTACAACTGTGTGAAAATAACTATGTGTTAGTTGTTTCTAGAAGAATGATCATTCTGTCTTTATTTTGTATGAGCTATAGAAAACATTATTTTTTGTTATTCTATATATTAAAATCAACATAGTCAAACCTACCAAAATCAATATATTGAATAAAAATCACAAAAATTGTTTCACTAAAATTTCATGTGAAGCTTTTAATTCTCAAAAAATCATAATTTTAACACAAAAACAATGTCTATCTATTACACAATATCAACTGATCAAAAAAATAGATTTACAATAAAAATAATAAGTCTTACAATCTAAATTAGAAGTTGTCGTTGACAGCCGAGTACAACATGGAGGCAGTGGGGTTGGGCATGTGGTTTGAAAATGGAGTGGAAGAAGAAGAAAGATGTAATTTCAAGTATTTATAGGTCGCATGAGGTTCGACGCTAAAAGAGCAGCAGAGGCTTTTGCTTCGTGCGAATAGAGGAGCATAAAATAGGTGGGGGAAGATCGTAGCTTGGAGCAGCAGAGGTTTTGCCTCGTGCCAACTGAGGAGGAGAAAACAAGTGGTGGAAGATCGCAGCTTGGAGCAACGAAGGTTTTTCTTCGTGCAAACAGAGGAGAATATCACATCTTACCGAGCCAAAGGAGGAGGAAGGGCGGAATCGGAGGAAGGGCGGAATCGTAAAACTTCAAAGCAGAAAGCGGGTCGCAATATCGAACTCGCGACCACAAACACCGAAAAAAAAGCGGCACAATGTCGCGCCGCTCCTCTACGGCTGCCCCAAACAGGGCCTATATGATCTTCTATTGATTGGCTTTCAAACGACGATTGTACTGCAGTTATTAATTGTATTTAGTTTGTTAGTTATTAATATTAATCAATTTCTTTTATGTTAACTTTGGATGTATAAGAAATTTTATTTGGAATGATAAATCTAATTTTTTGGGGAAATTAAGATGGAGGAAATGCAGATTCGAAATTCGTATAAATAGTTACATATATTGAAGAGGTTTTGTGAGTATTATTATCAAATTCTTCATCATTAGCACTTGTTCTATACGATTAATAGCCCTGAATGAGTTAATTATGTCAACATTTTCTACCAATAATAAACATGCTGTGTCTCAGAAAATTTATGATGATAGAGATGCATTAACATTTTATTATTGTACAAAAATACAAAGGAAAATCTGAAAGGAAAAAATCTTGAGGCTTAGCTTAATTTAAATAAATTTACTATTAAGATGTAGGTCATAGGAATTTGAGTGCTCTTGAACAATAAGCAGTAAAATTATAAGAATGAGAAAAAATTTTAGAGAAGTGACAATGATCTGGCTACGATAATATTGGAAGATTAGAAATGAGTTCTATGTTGTTGTCCCGATGATGACAGTAGTGGTCTAGTGACAATTGCAATATCTACAAAGACAATAGAGGAACAACGACAATGGCTGTGGTCTAACACCAAC